CCTACATGTTCCTGCAAAAATAAGAACCGTTTCAAAAGGAGCGTCAATGTTCCGGAAAACGGAGTCTACATCGTAGATTCCGGTCTGGAAACGCACAAGCATAAGGTTAGAGGACTTCGCTTCAGAGACCTGGTTTAATTATCCTATGCAGATATGGGCAAGGGAAAAACGCAATGTCCTGAATGAGGTCGTGAAAGTCGATGCAAAATGTAACAGCGAAGAACTAAGGTCCATTATCATTGAGGTATAAACCTCTTCGTTCATTGGAATGCAGCGATTTATGGAATCTTTAAGAGTATTGATCGCGTCACGTCAATGTCAAAGCGACGCATCCAAATAGAAGCTGAGAAACGTCTTGGAGGAAGGTTTGATTTTTGATTCTTACACATAATGAACATAGCTTATCCTTGCAGCAAATTCTCAAAAATTATATTGTATGTACTACTATACAATATGATAATCAATGTTAAGGTACAATGTGATCTGCGCTCGTGGCGACTTCTCCTACATTACAAATACGGAGGAATTCTGTCAACAAACAGTTGGAGACGTGACTTGCTATGCGTTCAAGCAACTATCAGAAGTTATGCGTGCAAGACTGGCATGACGTTGTTATTTTGTAATCATTTGTGCATGAGCTTGATTGAAACATATATTTGATTGAAATCAATTTTGCGCTTTGGGAAAAGAACTTATGGTCAATTTCTGTTTCAATACTCACAGTGCAGATTCACAATGTTTCCAAATTGCGAAGCAAGCATCCTGCACTAAACTAAACACTAGTCTCTTCATAACTTCTTGTTAAAATGAGCGTGGCATTCTAGTAATAATTTTTTAAACCCAGCCGTAGTAGGCTACATCAAGTGTTCTAGAGATACCGGGATGTAGCCTATTGAAATCCGCTCGATCGCAGAACAAGGGAACAGGCACCATGTGCTTGAGTAATAAAATTTGTAAAAGCGAAAATATCTGAAGTGCAACATGCAAAGTGAGAGAACAAACTTCTAGAGTGAATGCTTGTGAAAAAAATCCATGAAAGTGTATTAGATTTATTAGTCTCATTCGAAAGTTTTTTTTCACTATCAAAAAAAGCGAAGAACAACTTATTCTCGTAGTTGATTAAAATATACAACTTCAGGCACTCACTACGAAAAAGGTTTGCTCGTACGAAGTTTGTGTAAAATTGCAGAATGTTCTAATGCAAAGGCCGTAAATAATTGCTTGGAAGTGTTTTGGCTTAGTTTTTTGTAGCACCACTGGAATCAAACTCACCTATTTACTCACTGTCAGTGTTCAGATAAGAAAGTGATTAGAAAAATCAAGAT